TGCAAATGATTCCTTGCCCGTCCTGATTACTATAAATTACACTACGCTTGTCCGTGCATTAATATAAATTACACTACGCTTGCCCGTTGGCCGGATTTCGATGTCAAATAAATTTTTGGCTGAGCGAAAAAAATTTTTCGTCTTAGACCAACTTAGAAAGGGTCAAAACGCATATTAATGAGATAGGTTTGGCTCAGGGGAATTTTGAAGCACATTTTCACATGGCTATCATAGCACTGAGCCGTATGCAAATCAATCCTTGCCCGTCCCGATTACTATAAATTACACTACGGTTGCCCGGATTTCTGAGTCAAGTAATGCTAGGCTTGTCACTTAGAAAATTTTTGGCTGATCGAAAAAATTTTTTCGTGATAGACTGATTCAAACACAAATTGCGGAAAAAAATGGAGATATATTTTACATTTAATTGTCATATCATACATACAGTAGTGTTTTGAGACATGGTCTGGAAACTCAGTAAACTTCAAAGCGGTTTATATAATGAGCTGGGAGTTTATGTTGAACTGTACTTACACACATCCTTTGTTTTAGGTTGATTAATATTTAAATAGCATGGTTGAATGACTGAACTGTCGCTATTGGATGATTCGTTCATTTATACTGAAATGCAATGTGTTAAGCCTGTTTTCCACTAGGCGGAATTTTGCGCGCGGAGCGGAATTTTTCTTTGTCTGTGATTTCTCGGGTGGAACTAATTAGAAAAGACAAAGAAAAATTCCGCTCCGCGCGCAAAATTCCGTCTAGTGGAAAACAGGCTTTAATTGACTGTGCACCGTGGACAAAACTGCATAAACGCGAACAAAAAGATAGAACAAAGACTTTACCGGAGTTTCCAAACCATGTTTTGAAAGACTATGTATCATATAATACAACATTGAATCTAACAAGTCAAGTTTATTATATTAAACATATTGACATTAACGTCTGTAGTGTTGCACATCTATACTGTACATGCAATAAATATATACCACTTAATTAAACGGGTAATAATGTTATATTAAATTATATTGATATATTGGGTCATTCCAGAAAACATCCATACACCCCCTGCAAAGGAAATTGGAAGTTTACCCCCTTTGGAAGTTCTAATACACATATACTATTATCAGAAATAGAATCTAATTTGTCTCTCTTCTCCTTTCAGACAGCAGCAATTTCCTTGTTGGGGGCAGGGTGGATCTTTTCTCGAACAACCACTTACTGTTATATTATTACTGTGCAAAATAATATTAAATCAAATCTTTGATAATATGTGATAATACTGTATATGTAGTGACTTATACATGTCACAGTCATGCATGACTGCTTTTCCGCTGATCATATAGACAATTTCTTGCCAGTCATTGATTGGTTATCAAGTAAACTAATGAGAGATGCTAAAAGCATTAAAATGTTACTTAAAGAAATATAAATCCACATATTTGTGAAATAAGCCTATATGTTTTAAGGGAAAAGTGTGATCACTACCATGTGTAAAGTACTCAAAATTCATTAAACATAAAATAAAAATAGGAAAATAAATTCCAATTAATTACTAAGTACAAGACTTAAAATAATACGCAGTAAAACAATGGAGACATAGATACAAATTGCAACAAAAATTCCAACATTGGCAAGTTTCTTTGCTCGCAGGCCCATTTCTTGTGCACCAGCGTGGTCCCCGGCTCGGTACAGTTCACGGGACTAGGGAAATAAATAAGGAATCAGTTGTTTGTTTGTTAATATTAGTGGCATAAACCAATTGAGTGGCAGCACTCTCCCAAGGTTGACAAGTAAAATCATCTGTCATTAGACAAATTAAAATAATAAAGTATGGCACATCAAGGTGCATATATGCCACTTAATAGATCAACAGAATGCACTCTCCCCTTGATAAGTAAAATCATCTGCTGCAGACAGAGTAAAATAAAAAGTAAGGCATATGTAGGCACATAGCCACTTAAAGGGTTAACATGGATTGAAGATTCCTTACCCTGATTGACTTGAGCATAGCAAATATACCAATACAGAAGCAACAGAACATGCTGATGATAGATACGACCATATAATCAGGTGGAGGTGCTGTATTATGGATTATAACTGCACCATGAGTTGGTTGCTGAAACAAAGAATCAGACCTTTATAAAAATTACTCTTTCTATAAATTTAACAAAAAGTTGGTTCACTGTTCGTAAAAATGCAACAATGTTTCGAGAAAAGCCCTGACAAAGTTCTGCCTGTATTTTCCAGGTACAGTTCTTGTATCTCTATCAATCTTGAGAGACCGTAATGCCGACAATACCTGGGTTATTATTGTAGTTTGGGCATGTGGATGATAGGCAACTCCAACTGCTTGGGTGGTGTACCCTGCTGCAGCTCCTTGAATGGGGTATCCTGGCTGACCATAGCCAGGTGGTATACCTTGCTGCGGGTAGGGTGCTGCCCCAGGTTGTACGGGGTAGGCCTTCGGTTGATCTTGAGTAGCTGAATAGCTAGGTGGAGCAGACGGTGGGTAGGGGGGTTGGTTGGGGTAAGGTGGATATTGAGGGGGTGCATTGGGTTGGTACGAGGTATTATATGGTGGGGGAGGAGCTCCTGGAAAATTAAATAGGCATGTATGAAGTGTGAAACATCATTGGGTTGTTCGTCAATTGTCTGGCATTAAACTGAGTAAAATGATAAAGTAAGGTGCTGGGAGCATTAGGGCACAGAATAGACTATACAGAAGCCAGATGTCTTGGTTTTTCCTATGATTTTCCAATGATTTTGGTGTAACCATAATTTGTCAGCAAAATGCTAACGCCATGGGCCTTGTGTGTTTGAGGGGCATTCACCCCCTGAAAATATTCGAAATGGCAGACATCCAGGGGGTAATCCCTCTCAAGGCCCATGGCGTCAGCATTTTGATGATGAATCATGGCGTGGTAGCGGTTACTCGAGTCGACCTTCTGTATGTCTTTATTCTGTGAATAGGGAGCAATACAACTTAATGGGTTAATATGCAATTGTTTAGGGATCAAGGTCATATTATATATTATAGTAGCTCTATTCTGTAGTCATTGGGTCATTCCAGAAAACATCCATACCGCCCCCACGGAGGAAATAGGAAGTTAACCCCCCTACCCCCTTCGGATGTCCTAATACATTAATTTTACTATTATCAGAAACAACTTTTTCTCCCCTCCCCCTCCGGACGGCAGAAATTTCCTCCGTGGGGGGAGTATGGATCTTTTCTGGAACAACCCATTCATTAGGAGATGGTGGTCAGTCATATTAATCTATGGGTCCGGTTGTTCAAAGCTGGATTAGCGCTAAGGCACTAACCCTCGGTTAAAAATTAAACCTGCTGTTGTAGTTTATGTATCAGTCTGCACATCAATCTCGTACCCAGAGCAATGCCTGTCTGTGCGCGGGCTAGGATGGCATTGGCTCTGGGGAAATTGACAACAGGAACCCCTAAATTTAGGGGTTCCGGTTCTTTGTCGGCATGCACAATTGATAAACGTTAAACCAATCACAGCACAGGAAAAATTCAATTTCCCCAGAACCAATGCCATCCTAACCCGCGCACAGGCATTGCTCTGGGTACGAGATTGTCTGCACGTCTGTTCAAAACTCCAGGAAAGAAAACTCCTACAGATCCAAACACAATTTCTAAAGAAATAATTCCAAATTTATGTTGGGAAGCTTGCTTTGAATATTGGGTTAATTTAACCAGCGTTAAGCTATTCCAGCTTTGCCCATGCTATATGCCATGGAGTAGTCTTTGTATTTGGCATGGAAGCCAATGAGTCAACCATGTCATGAATATCTCTTACCTTCACTTGCCATCTATGCTGATGACAAATTTTCAATGAAAAGCAAGTTAAATCCCTTGTAGTTTTCTTAACCACTTCTACTCTAAAATAAAGAACATATTTAATCTCGTTTAATCTTTTCACACAAATATCACAATTCTTTATATGATTCGTACACTGTATATGTCGCATATATAATATTGCATACAGAAAAACGTTAATTTTATTTTTTTATACCACCTAAAAAGCAATATATTTCAACTAATAAGACTCGTTTAAAGCATGCAATGTTCATGCTATGATTTATGTCAGTAAATCGTTTTAATCGCTAATAAAATTATTAAAAAATACCAAGAAAAGAGAGCCTTTATAGAGAGGCTTTCAATACCTACGTATTGCACAAAACTGCGTTTAAAATACAAGATGAAACATACTCTGAATACTATCTTGTAATCTCAAGATTCGAGCTATGTCACTGTAATAATAAACAAGATAGAAACAAAATTCAAGGTATATTTCGGTATTTATATATTTTGAATTACAAGATAAACAAGAGAAGCTATTAAATCACGTCAGAACCGGAGTGTGTTTCATCAATATATTTCGAGAAATTGTCTGCTGGTAGAAGGATTCTATGTACCATAATAATGATAATATAGTCCTTACCTTTGTAAATCCTTCGGCAATAAATCTTAGCGAAGACAATCAATGTCAAAAATACAAATAAAATTATATCAAAATTTTGCTGTCTCATTTATAAATGCAAACATCTGCTCATGACGTCATGGTTTTGCATTAATTAACCTCCAATATTTGGTAACAATTTCTGTATAAGTGATAGGAAGCAAATATTTTCAGAAAAAAATAAACAAATACTGGCTTCGAACCTGTGCTCATAATATTCATATTCCTGTTAAAATCTTGATCACAAAGCTACTGAGTTTGCATGGTTTCTGAACGGCTCACAGGTCTATTTATATGTGACAAACATTTTTATCTTTGCACAGATACATGTATGCTTAGGTTTCATTCTGTGTTAAAATAATTCAGAAATGCATTGTTTTCAACTTAGCATTCATTGCAAAATGTTACCATAAATTAACTATAGCTTTAAATTAAAATAATTTACTGGTAAAAATTCTAAAATGACTGAAGATGTTTTGGTAGTAAATATACAGTTCATAATAGAATAATACATATTTATAAATTAAGTCATTAATTGTGTTTATTTTCTATGCTTCCATCACATCTTTTTCTTCTCTTTTTTCCCTTGTTTTTTAATTTTCTTTTCTTCCCGTAGTTTCTTCTTATTGCTTTCATTCTTTAATAGTTTATATATCATTAGTACTGAAAAGGAAACAGAGAGACATATCCTATTCAAAGCTTATCGAAAGGTGGGAAGTTAGTAGCGAAAATACTAGCAAATATAAAAGCGGTCACATCACTCTGATGGATTTTATATAAGTCAAACCAACTTGAACCATATACATTGGTGCTTTTAATATACTGCATACACAAGTGAATCAATACACCAGAATAAACAACTGATGTTTTCAAAATTCAACAGCAATTACATTCCATTATATTTAAAAAACCTTGGCTCAATAAGCAGCAATATAATCAGTTAAACAGTGTGATTATACTACTTCAGAGTGCATTAATCATCATAAAACATTTAAATGTATTTAAACCTTACCAACAAAAATAACTAATAAAATTCCAGGTATGAGCAGTAAATTGACATCAATGTTGAATCGTTCAAACGGTGCAGAATCATTTGTATCTCCCATTTGGCTAGCTAGAGAAAAAATGCTTTTAAAAAGCACAAAATCATAAAATTTTTCACATATGTATAAATTTGTTACTTTGTTATTGTTTTGAAAAGAATTACACGTGGCGCAAAACTAGGGGAGCTGAGGCGAGCTCTACCTGAATTTAGGGAAAAAAGGGGTCAGGTGTTGCAGGAGTACGCTTGTACCCGATAATTAGGGTGTACAATTTTAGGTGTTGCAGGCGTACCTGCATTACCTGATTTAGCAACCCACCCGAAAATCGGGCGCATTTCTCACAATAAAAACCATACACCAAAAGTTGTTTATATGGAAAACTGCCAAAAAGCTACGTTTGTGAAATTGTGAAATATTCTGATTTATAACTATAAAATATTGTTTTGTTCATGGAAGAACTCAATCTTACCCAGGAAAATTGCATTTATACTCACTGTTATTGGTATGTATATAATCAATCAGTCATATTAATTATTTAGTATATATAAATTAGTATTTATTAATACATAATTAATTAATTACTTCTCTGTACTTTTATTTAGCGAAGAAAACGTGTGGAAATTATGCGAAAGTTTGAAGGAAAAAGTAGATCTTAGTGATTTTCATGTTGTTTTTATTTCCAATGCAAACAAACAGGTGTAATATATCTTTCATTAATTATATTTTACATACTTAATTAATTTATTAGTGAAATAAGTTCGTTAATATATTAATTAATCATTCGTTAATTTATTAATTATGTTAATTATTAATTAAGTGTTGGTTAAGTTCAAGTTGGTTTATTAGTGTTGGTTACGTGTAATAGTCATGATGTACCACTTTGTTTGTAGATTCTTTTATGGTGTCAAAAATCAAGCAGAGATTATTTACAACCTGTGATATGGGTGAGAAATTAACCTCATTTGCATTCAAGACAGCATCAAACCTAGGGCACAGAATAAAGATCAGTACCAAAAGGGCCACTCAGCGGTGCAACGTGTCACCATTTTTCTATGCAAAAATATGCAATTGACTGGCCAGGAAGATGGCGGCCAGCCAATACAGCGCGTTTA